AAAATGTTCTGATGTTTCATCTGAAAAGCTTTATATGTCCACAGAAGGCAGCTTGCTGAAATGCCTATTAAAAATATTGGTCTGATATTCAAATGTGTCACTTTCCACAAAAGGAGATAATGCCACAGGGTTGTACCCAATAATAAGATTTAAACTTTCAAAGTTTGATGCTGCAACACCTGTTATGTGGCTGCTGTCCCACTAGGTGAAGAGTGAAGATTAAATGTGTCAGAACTATAGCCAAGCAGTCTGCAAAGAAGGTATAAAAGGTGACGAGAGAACATAAATATATTTAAAGAAACATGAAGAACTAGAAAAAAAAGAGGTCCATTGCTTGCTGAGAACATGCAGATGGCTAAAATACTGATTGCTTTCTTTTTATTAGTCTCCATTGAGATGTTCTGAAGAAACATAAACAAAGAGAGTTTGGTATAAATTGGAATAGGGAGGAAACTGTTTAAAGCACACTTAGATTCAAGTTCTTAGAACTTGCTGATGTTAGTGTATGCTCAATGACTAAGTGAAAACAGTTTATAGACTATTAGTAATTACGTCCAAGAATTCATGGGGGTTAAAGAAAGTTAGAAGCAGACTAAAGAAAGTGAAACATATTCCCTATTTTTAAAGTCAAATAATAGAGAAAAGTGCCTTTAACTTTCATTCTCAGAAATAATCTTTGACAAATTTTAAACAATGTTGGTAAAGTCCATCACATGTGAATTGTGGAAAGCTAATCTTGTCACACCTCTCTAATTTCCCTTTCTTATGTCTGATTTTCATTCTTATTTCTTTGTGAAGACAGGGGGAGGAGAATGTACAGTCTTCTTTTCACTTTTTAGCACCACCTTCTATGAAATTCACAGAAAAAGGATGAGGAGAAAGGTTTTAGGTGAAACCCCTGTAAAGTGATTACTGAAAATAATCCCTCTCAAAGGCTGCTTTGAATGTTTTGCTCCTGAATAGTAATTACAAGTGTAAAATTTCAAGTGTGCTTCTGAGGGTTTAGGATGAAACCAACTCGGTTCAATATATCATTAATAATTGGAGACCCATTGCTAAGTAATAAAATAAAATTTGCTGATGCCAAGATATCACTATTCATAGAGAGTTTAAAAGGACTTAGTGGAACTGACTTAGATTCAAAATGAAAATTTCATACTAAATCAGTCAATCTGATAAAATTCACTGAGGTGCACTGTGCTCAGTTTAGGGCAGAGAAATCAATGTAAAATAGGGGATAACTGCCTAGACCATACTGTAGGGGATAATCTCAGAATCCAAACTGACTGTGAGTTGCAAATCTGATGTTACAAAAAGGCAAGGGACTCATTTTGGGAACCTTGTTAGTAAGTGTGTCTTCCCCTTGGGAAGAATGTTATCATTTTGATCTATTGTGCTTACCCCCCCCCTTTGTAATATCTCCAGTTTGGAGTCTGTGGACAGACTTGGAAGGGTCTGGAAGAGAACTACTGAGAAATCCCATGTGTGGTATAAACTGCAGGAATCAACTTCTGATCCTAAAAAGAGCAATGAGGATCCCATATAACAGGCACTGTTGGTTTTGGACCTGATTTTATGCTTGTCATTACCTCTGTCCTCATCTTGGTGGATCTTCAGTTTGGGGGCCTAACTAAACTGCTCTTAAACAATCACTGCATTTAAAAAAGACAGAAATAGCCCAACAAATCTAAAAATTACTTCCACAATAGAGAAGATGAGAAAGCAAGAACATTTGAATGCCTGGACAGAGAAAAAGCATACATCATGGTTTCCTCCCATATCAGTCGTAAGAGAATCTACATCATGAAGGGATAGGAAGGGGAGGTTATAAATGTTTAATTGAAGAAAAAAGAAAAAGAAAAAACCAAAACCATAAACCAAACAAGAATAGGAATTTGTACCTTACTGGCACATGGGGAACCACTCCTCAGTCAAGGTTTTCCTTTTGTATGAATTTCCCAGATATGAGTGTAAAGTCTAATTGAAGCTTTTCTTGGGTAAGAGTGTTGGCAACTTTTCCTTGTTGTTTTCCTTATCTAATCAGAGCTGGGCTTGTTCTGCAAAGGTAGTACAGTTCAGCTGTACATGAGTCAGCCACCAGACACAAAATCATGGAACACTATTAGCCCACTGCTCTTACAGCTATTCATTATACCTCTGGTCTCACGCTTTCTGATGTAAATTTTAGAGCACCTAATATTTCCAAACTTGTTTCTCTCACCTCCTTCAGTCACATAACCAAGATGCTGGACTTTTCTAAACTTTCCCAAGTTATTTGCACATAATATTTTATAATAAAAGGAAATACCAAAACAGCTACAATACTTTATAATAAAAGAAAATATCAAATCAGCAACATGCTGTCTACAGAGAAAAAAATATTCTAATTCAAAAAATACAGAAAAGGTTACATTAATACAAGATGGTTGCTGCATAGTGACCAATAAAAACAAAAGAAAGGCAAAGAGCAAGGAAAAAACATGACATTAACTTAACCTTTTTACGTATTAAACTGTATTAAAATCTTTCTGTCTTTTTGCTCTGGAGTGCAGAGAATTTTATTTGAAGGACTGTACGTTCTCTAGGCAGCTTCCAGTACTCATTTTAAAAGCTATTTGTCAAGGAGTGTTAAAAACACCTCTTTCATTTGCTCTAATCTGTCACTTATCTCAAAACATGCTAACAAGAATATTTTAAATACCTTCTGCAAAATACGTTCTATTCAGGCAATGTGACACAAAAAGCCTGTGTCTTTAAGCCTGTGAGTTTACAGGATTTCCGCTGAGTTCAATTGTTTCATGACATTTAGAAACAGGTTTTCCCAGACTGGTTGTATTTTCTATGTCTTTGGCCTGACTAGTGTCCTTGTGGGGATTTCTGTCTGTGTTGTGGAAGTGGTAACATAGATTTTCTATTTTTGCTCTGAGTTTGTGCACCAACTACATTCTATCAAACGCTCCAAAAGTCAGGATGATGCAGAGACCTGCATGGCCAGACCTGGGGGAGATCTCGCCATGATCCAGGGAGCACCTTTTCTGCACATCACTGTGCAGAACTGGAGGCTGTCAGGAATATTTCAAGTTGTGCACTATGTGGTACAACCAAATACATTTTTCCTAGCAGAGAAAATCCACTAAGGAAGAAATTTGCACTGCAAAAATAAGGCATTCCTGCACAAAAATATCCTGATTTTTTCCTTCACTGTTCATTCTGCAGTGTTTATAAAGTAATAGCAAGGCTAAGATGTTTTATTTTGATCAATGGCTTTTTGGTTAAGCAAGGTACCAGCATAGATTGCTTGCAGGATCCTGGGAGAGTTCCTAAATCAAATTGCAGCTTCTGTTGACAAAGTATGAGCTCCTATTGAGAAACACTGCTTTTAGTAGCATTCTTTCTGTCTCTGAACAAAAGTAGGGACTGGATAACTTCTTGACATCCCTTTCAGTTATCTTTGATGCCAGGTGTCTTGTTGACATTTCATATAGTGCACATTTATTTGGTAAATACTATATTTCAAACTCAGGAAGGAAGGCCTCTGAAGGATTATACTTTTAGCTGACAGAAGTACAATAGTAGCAAAGAAAACATACAAAACAGAAAACATTTCAGCATCTAAGGTCGGCTAAGAGCTGGTTTTGTTAAGACAGTCTTATAAGAGGAAAAGGAAGTGCCCATCATCTTGAAATAATCTCCTTAAAACTGTCTCTAGGATATGTAGGCACTGTTGTTTTAGTGTAGTGGAAACACACTGTGAGGACACCACAGGTGCACATTGAGGCAGGTGTGATCCTGCTGAACAGATGTGTTCCTCTGCCACTGATAAAGGAGCTTGCTAAACCCACTCAACTGAGACCCTCATGCACCCCCTCTTGGCTGCCCATCACCTAGACCCACACCTCTACCAGCACCAGGAGATCTTCCTTCTGGCCTTCACCAGGGTCACTCCTCCCGTGGGACTGGGAGGCTTCTGCAAAACATGAGCTCCAAAGGCTGTGGTGCTGCTAACATGAGGCTCTCATGTCACCTCACCATGTTCCTTGTTTAACTTTCTCGAAGTGAATAGGCAGCTGTGGCATCACAACACTGAACAAGCAGTAGAGCTCCTGCTCCCTACATATGCTGACTGCTGCACTCACCAGGCACAGCAGAAAGGAACTGCTCCCCTGCACAGGGAGAAGGTTTCTAGTGTCATAAGCCAGACAAAACCAAAACATGCAGGTTGGAGGAAAAGTTGGGAGGGAAACTGTGGTGCATGGGAGGCACAGACATCCGTGCCACATTTTACTGCTGTAGAAAGAGAGGCAGAAGAATTATAATGAAGCTAACTCTGACTAGAGATGAGTGGCAGAAATCATAATCAGAGCCCTGGAGTTGGCTGCTCTAACTAGGCAGCTCAGCCACAGGCTGTGCTTACTCCCAGCAAAATACATCTGTGGTTTAAATAGTTCAAAGCATGCTCTTTGAACTCCAGCAAACCTGCATTTCCTGTGCCATAGCACTAACCTTTCTTTGTTTACAAGTGTGCTTCATAACAACTCTTATTTTGGTGTGAAACTTTACTAGCAAGATTTGGATATTCAAATGATGGAAGTTTGTATTTGTGCTTTGAACCTCTCTTTTTTCAACAAGTTAAGTGCAACAAAGTCCTTCTCAGGTTCACACAACACTGCAATTTAAGGTGTAGCAAAGACAGTGTTCCAGTGATTCCAACATATTAAACAATTCAACAAAAACCTCTTACATGTAAAAGATGTGAGGCAAGTTACAAAGGCATTACACTGATTTCAGTAGAACACAAGCAGCATTTGATTTACCATATTCAGAATCCACTTTGGAGGTTATTTGATCTGCCAGTAATATCCCTCAGACAGACAGGAACAAATTTACCTTGATGTGTCTGTCTGTCATTCAGGTAACCTGTGATCCATCGAATATGTCTCTTTCTGAAATGCTCATTTTACTGCAATTCTGTCTGACTCAATATTCTTCTTACCTGACAGGTAGGAGATCAAATAATTGAAATCAATGGAGAAAGCACAAGGGACATGACACATGCCAGAGCAATAGAGCTAATCAAGTCTGGTGGCAGGAGAGTGCGACTGTTGTTGAAACGTGGGACAGGCCAGGTCCCAGAATATGGTGGGTTTTTATCTTTACATTTTTCTATGTGCATGAATCTATATAAATTAATTATATCGCTTTTGAGTTAAGTAGCAACTGAAGATATTTATATAGTATAATTTCATGGGGAATATTAAGTATGGGCTTAAGTGTTTACCTGAGTAGAGGTGGACTTACTCACATGTTTAAGTGTTTCCTTAGCCAAGGCCATATATGTGTGTACATCACTGTCACCTGCTGCCCTCCCGACCAGGCAAAGCCTTGTAAGATGTGCATTGGAGGAAGCACTTTGAGCCTTTTAGGGAACATCTCTGAGTGTGCTGGGAGTTGCTGATTTGTCCATAAACTCTCCTTTTCTTCCTTTATTGGTACTTCTCTGTGCATTTTGAACCACAGCAGATGATCTTATTGCCATGAAATTGAGGGGCTCAAGTCAAAACTCAAAATATTAACAAGAATTTACTGCTTTCTTTGACAACTTTACCAATTATATTACCTCTGACTATATAAATGGATGATCAAGCAGAAGTCAATTCTGAATTAAAAAGGGGACTTAGCTCATTGTGGTGAGAAAACACAAACCATTCTTCTCATATTTTGCTTCAGAGGGAGTTCAGGGACTTTTTTGAGTATTTAAAAAAGTGTAAGTCATTTAGACTATATAGAAACATTATTTCATAACTGCAATGACAAGAAGTAAAAATAAATTATCCAAAGGTAATTTCAAAGACAAAATCTCTTTTTAAAAACTGAAATCAGGGTTTACTCTAGAGTATGATGTGACAATGTCATATATTTGCATAAGTTCTATGACGTGCACCTCTGGGCCTTAAATCTCTCAGGAAAAGGTTACTTTTTTAATTAATAGCCCTTGACTTCTTTATGCTAGGTGGTCCAAAACTCTATTTAACTTTTTTAATGTTACTTTTGAAGTTCCAGCATCCTTTCCCATTAGAATCAGAAATTAGAGTAACATTTGAAAATGCAAAGTAATACTTAGGGTTAACTGTAGGTTCAGATCAGTGTTTGTTGCCAACATAAATTCATTATTTCTCCTCATTAAGTCAGCTCCACTGAAAGTCAGTGCTTTTCTGGCTGTCAGTACACATGGTAATTGCACCATTTTCTTCTCTAAACTAGACCTAATTCTGTGGCTAAGCCAATACCGAGGACAATGTAGGTATTTTTTCCATCTTTCAAGAGCTTCTGAATAAGGCCAGAAAGGATGGGCCATAGCCCATTCATCTGGTGATAAAATTAGTGAATTATATTTTTGGTGAGTAGAAACAAAGCCAAAGTAGCTTTTCTGATAAAATGATATTAAACATTTAATATCTGGAGTATAATCCTTTCAGACAGACCTCTAGGAGAAATTCAGATGACCTCCAAAACTGTTTTGTGGGGAGAGGTGGATGATTTTTGATGAAAGAACAAACAAGCATCCAGGACTGATAAAGTGATTAGTAATCCTTCTCAAACAGCAGAACCATTTACCAGCAGTTCTCCAGTTCCTCAGAAAACAATTTAATAGGTCCATGAGGCTGCTATGAGCAAAGAATCAATTGCAGTTCAGACCCATTCCAAATCTTTCTTAAAATCCCTGTTCTGAATGGCACTTAAACAAATCCAAAATTAATTTCCACTGTTTATATAATCTTATAAATCTGTACGTTATTCCAGAATCATTGGAAAGTTTATACAGATGTAAAAGAATTTCAGTGTAAATAGCATTGCTTTGGGAAAACAAATCTTCCAAAAGGTGTCAATGTACACAAAGTCTTCCTTTCCACAGAAGATCACAATAGAAAATGCATATAGAAATTCAGACACAGCTTTTAGTGCTAACAGAAAGAGACAAGGTGACTTCGCAAGATTGTTTAAAGCCAAGCCCACCATTTGAAAAGGCATTTGGAATACTTAGCATTAGTTGAGTAAAAATACTGAATACTGAAAAATAAAAATTGCTCCAAAGAAATGCTGTTTAATGAGACCATTTTCCTAGCTTACAGCTCTGAACGGGATAACTAACTAGCTGTGCTTGAAAGTTCTGTTGTCCTACTGCACTGAAAAAGTGTTCAGGAGTTACTTCAGATATTGAAGTCCTCCTTTGGTCATGTCTCAAAGCTATGAGAAATACTCTAAGAACAAGGTGCTCCTAAAATACAATTGCAGCCTGCTTTAATTTTGAGTTAAAAACAGAAATTAGCAAACAGAAATTATTAAAACTGGAGAGGTCACATCTCAAGAAGGTTGTATCTCAAGGGTAAGTCATTATGCTGCAAAGAAAATCTGTCAGAGATCCCCAGAAAGATCATCTTTTCCAGACAGTAGAAAACCAAATGCAGAGAAGATTGTGACATGAACTGTTAGGTAAGCTTGAGGATAACATGGTCCTGAGAACAGCACATTGACTAGTCAGTATTTAGTAGCTCTCTCTTCTTCCCATCAGAATTTCACAGTTGAGATGTAATATGACTAATTGGAGACCTTTTTACTGAAAAAATCAGCTTCTTTTCTTTTTTTTTTTTTTAGCAAGAACGTGTCAGAAATGTTTCTTATTCTCATCAGGGTCCAGCTCTGGAGAACATCAGTGGAAATAATACTTAGTTGAGCATAAAAATGCAAGGCTGGAGGACTGAGCCAGTAACAGGACTGCAATGGTGAACTGTAGCAAAAGCCCAGGGAGAAATGTAACAACAGTGCAAGTGTACCAGGGTCCTGTCCTGGATATTCTCTCTCAGTCTCTGACAGGCAAAATGGTCAGGGACTTCCCAAGTCAGTTGCAGTAACGCTGTTTAAAGACCTTCCCAACAGCAGCAGCATTTAGATGCACAGCACTAAAAAGAGGAAAGCTTGTGAGAGCTGCCCAAACCAACCTGCCCAAACCATCACATTATCATCTGTCAGTTTCCAACTTCTTGATTTTCCCTGTACAGTACAATCAATACTTTTACATTTCAGTGCAATGTTTCTGTTAGTACCAAATATGGTGGTATACATTTAAGTGCAAGAAATACCAGTGTTCGAATGATGATGATTGACGTCAGTAAATGCATTGTTAAGGGAAAATCATCAATGGTAAGAAAGTGATCTGTGAAAGAAAAGAATGCATATTGAAAAGAAGAAAGTACACAGGGAAGAAGCAAAGAACAAGCTCCTGGAAGGGTGTAAATCTCCTGAATGAGTTATATCGATTTATAGTGCCTGGAAATCTGTCCCTACAAGTACATCTTGGAAAATTCTGGTTGAGCTGAACCACTATTCAAATCTACAGTAAGAAATAGTGTGCTGCAAATGCATAATATTTGTCCACTACAACTGCTGATTTTACTTGAAAACAAATGCCACAGATCCCAGAGCACTTCAGAGGCAGAAATCCCCTTGCAGCATGTATGGTATCATCAATGTAAGGAAATGAGCACAGATACAATTAATGTTCCAAAACAATAGCTGACTTCACAGCGGGGTGCAACAAAATAAGCTTAGAAAACAGCTGTTTTATCACCCAGCATCTCAGAACACGTTTGCTGAGGGTAGGGATAGCCAGAGGAACTGTGCTTCCACTGAAGGTGAATTATTGCAGCTCATCCAAACCCCAGGAACATCAGCATCATGTTTCATAGCAAATAGTCTGCCAGCTGTGTTCTCCAGAGAACCAAGTCATAGTAAGAAATCATATTACTGTGCAAGAAAGACTAGGAGTACTGCTGGGAATCCTGATCCTGAAACATACGTAATTCCTGAGAAGTCTGGCTGGAGAGAGTGTGGAGGTTTCATACCTGTCACAGGACACGAAACTCACAGTCATCAGTGTAGCACTGAGCACTTCTCAGAGGCATTAAAAAAGATTTGAATAAAGTGACAGGCCAAGACTTTCCCTGCAATGACTGCCTAATTCCCTGTGTATGCACCTACCTAAGAGCTTACTGACTTTCAGCAGGAGCTACTGGGTGTGCAACACTTCCAAAAATCTGTCCACACTGTGGGAGCCTAATTACAGGTGCTCTTTTATTTCAGACTTTAGCCATAGCTGTATAAACACCGTCAGAAGATCATGTACTTTGTACAGCCAAACACTGGGATGAAGTGCCATCCCTAAAAGCAAAATGTGAGAAAACTGTTCACAAAATCCCAAAATAGTAGCATTAAAAAGGAAGTAAAACTGAAAAATCAGTCTGTCTATCAAGCAATGAGTTCTGCAAGAGGCAAGTTACCACTAATCAGTCCCAGAAAACTACAGTTTTGTCTCAGAACAGTTACTTTTTTCTCTAAATATCTTTGGAGAAAGGTACCTAGGAAAGCCTGGGAAGTTTCATTCTTGGTCCCAGCAGTCCTGGCAGCTTGCTTCTTCTGGCTTACTGCTCCTGGCCTTTCCTGATTGGAGTTTTCATTACTCACTGCTACATTAAAATATATCAGTTCCTAAAAATATCTGAAAGCAATGAGTCTATAATCAAATGACTGCAAACAGGGTGTAAAGGTGAAGGCTGAGGTTGAGCACTTGTAGGTACATTACATCCCTCCTCCTTGCCCTGGATGCTTTCTGTCTGGCACTGTGGAGGGAGCAAAAACACTGAATTTCACCTGTGAGGAACATCTTCCTACTTTTGGGACTACAAAATCATCTTATCAGGTTTGATATCAGGTTTCTATTCAAGTTCCACTCCATTTTGAGTTGCTTCTCCATTTTAAAGTGCTTAAGAGCTCCTGCAGGAAGCAGGATTTTAGACACTCCAGACCATTCACACTGAGATTTTGGAAAACTTTTCCATTGCCCTGTGTTGAAGTCTGGATCTGGCCCTGAGTGTGTTAGCTCATGATGTGGTGCTAAAGCACACAGAACCACAGCAGCAACTGGAATCACTGAGGTTTGTTGAATAAGGAATCTGTGTTGTGGTGATGGTTGGTGCTTCATAGATTCACAAAACAGTGGTCCCTTTTCATCGCTCCCCCTGCTTTGTTTGGCTTCATTAAAAGGCATGTCCTGGGGTTGCATTGTGTATTTTTGGAGTCTCTGT